GTGGGTATCAGGGAGATGTTTGAAATTTAGGCTGATTTTATAAAAGAGCAGTCAAATCATACATTACCAAAAGAGTCATCAGATTTTAATGACTAAAGTTCCAATCCAAAATTGCTCATGGATCATTAAAAAAGCCTTTAGAGAATTATGGTTCCGGTTCTGTTCATCCACCATTGGGTCAAATGGTATGACTGTGGAGGAAAGATGAAAAAGTTGAAGGACTATGTCAAACCTTTAGGGCCTATCTGAAATTTTAGAAAGCATATAAAAACAAGTAAAATGATGAAACCAGCCAGTATTTACTGCATGGTACTAATATGCGTGTTGGTCCTATGACGGATGATAAAACATGACTCTTGTTTTACATGAGCCTATGCTATGCTTGGGAAATAGAACATGCAAGCGTGCAATCAGCAATGTAAGAGACTGGATTTTGTTATCAGGTGAATCTGCATTACAAGTCTGATTCCTCCTACTCCCTGATAAGTCTATGACTTTGGGCCGTTTACTTAACTTTTCTGTGAACTAGTTCTTTTTTTCATCTGTAGAATGGGCTTAATAGTAGTCGCTTGCCCACAGGGCACATTTTGGAGGAGTAAAGGAAATAACGAATGTAGAGAAGCTCTCAGTCACAGGGCCTGGCACATAGTGAGGCCTTGGAAATGTGAACCTCTGAAAATTGCCGAAGATTATGATTGTATACAGTCAAGTGCTAAGTTTTCTACCATGGGAGGGTTTCCCAAGTATTAAGGTAACAATGCTGCTCTGTGTGAGGAGACAGGACTCCCAGCAGATCCGTGTGGGAAGTATGTGGATAGGTAGAATAGAGAAGTGGGAACACTGCATTGTTTTTTGTTTTGTTTTGTTTTTGCTATAGGGTGCATGCTCTAGCCAGAAACATAGAGAGAGTAAGACAGAAAGCGAGACCCACTCCTCCCCTGGAGATGGTCATGCCACAAATCCTTTCTCCTCCATCTTTCTCTTGGGATTTTGGTCATGAATGCATATGCACCTGGCATGAGTTTCAAGCCTCCGGGTCTAGGACTCAAACTGTGGTTCACCATGTCAGAGTCCAACGACCTAAACATTATGCCATCTGCTGGTTCCTACTGCATTGTTTTTAAAGCGATGCTAACCAGAATCCTAGGGTACTTCTACCTGGGGACATTGGGGATTCCTGGTGACAGTCAGAGGAAGAGGTAAGGGGGCATGCTTCTGGGTGCCTACTTCATCTTCAGTCTCAGCGATTCCCCTTTGTTCACTTATAAACTGGGGCTGTGAGTAAAAATTCATTAGAAAAAAAAGAGTTCTTAGGGCTTTGGAAATGCTTGAAAGTCATATGCCGTTGTAAGAAATGCCGGTGGAGTGAATCGATGTCGATGTGCGAGGGTAATATATCACATCTTACCAATCGTAGAGGTCTCTACAACTGAAACTTTCAACCTCAAATACTTCTCTGTTTTCTGACTCTTTAAAGCAGTCCATCTTTCTAACGAGTTTTTGAAAATATAAATCTCTGTTAGTAACTCAGTCAACCTATACATTCAAGAAGCTCTAAAGCCTATACTTAAATTTTAAAAAATAAGTCTAAGAGTTTAAAATTATCAGTAAACCAGAAAGTACTAATTATAGGCTACCAATGTTTTGAATTGTTAAGGTTAATTGGGGCAAGTTTTCAAACACATTGTTACTTTCTTTCAGGATAATTAATACTATAATACAAAGCAAAAGAAAAGCACTACCATTTTAAATAAAAACTATACTGGTTCATTTAAAAGAATTCTCAGTATTACTGCAGATATTATTGAATAAGAAATTAAACTTATCATGAAGAACAGTTGGGATACACACACACACACACACACACAAACACATTTTTAGGGCCAGAAATAGCCCTTTTCCATGGAGAAGTACTCTTCAGCTACTGATGAATTTTCCTTATGGAAAGGATCTTAAATTCCTAGGTTTGGGGAGGTGTGGTGGTTAAGGCGCTGGACATTCCCACATGGCTGACCATAATTTGACTCCCGGACCTGGTGGCTTGCTTTCTCAGTTTACCTCTCT